TGCTCCTGACAGAGCAGAACGTGCGCATCAGTTCCCTCATTCATACACTTCATGCGCCCCCAAGAGTTGCAATTGATGGACTGAATCCTGAGAGGCACCGCTTCAACCTGGACAGGAAGACTCGAGGCGTGCGACCGCGCTTCCAGCGCGGCGGGGGTGGGGCTCGAAGCTCCATCACCCTCGCGTTCTGAAGCAAAGTTACGAACAAATCTGGCAAACAATGGGGGAGAGGACGGCTGCTGCTCAAAGCAGTCCGTCGCCCCCGTCGGCACCGATGGGGCAGCGGGGGGAAGCCGAGCCATCGCGGTGCAGCCAGGAGACGCCTTGGCCATATACATAACAGGGTACACGTCCCTGGGCCGAGCGAACGAGATCGGAGCCCGCTGCTTGAATAAAGAACGCTCACTCGAACAGTGCTGCTGCCTGGAAAGAGCAGCGCCCGCGCGCGATAGCAGGCGTCTCCAGCGGGCGCCTGGCTGCGCACGCTGCGACGAAGTCAACCTCGAAACCCGGGCGTCCGAGGAGGGGGCGAGGGGTAGAGGCGTACCTCGCCTGCGCCAGAGAGCGACCTGTGCCGAAGAGCGGCGCGGCCCTTGGAACAGAAAAGGCCAATGGAACCCCCGGGGGAAAACCATGAAAGAGCCAGGGCACATCCAGGAGGGCCCCGCAGCCCCAGACGAGACGCCGAGGTCCAGGCGCCCAGGATATCTAGGTTCCTCCAGGGGGGACCGCTTCAGAAGCCTTGCCAACGATCCTATCAGCCCCCGCCGTCGCACTCGGCCTGGAAGGGGTAGACGACGCCGCCGCGGGACCCGAAGCTGTCGATGCAGTAGCCGTTGAAGAGGCCGCCTCCGCGCCAGCAGGCGCCGAGCCGTCGTCGGGCTGCGAGGCTGCACCTTGGGCGTGAGGAGCCGCACCTCCACCTGCGACACCTTGACCCTGCTCTCCTGTGCGACGCTTCTTGGCTGCCATCCTCGCTGCCAACTGCCTGTGTTCAGCCTTGGGCTCATCGGCCTTGGCCTTCGCCTCCGCGAACGCGTTTTTGCCGTGTCCAAGATGCCAGACTTGAAGAGTTCCACTGGCGACGATAACTGCTGAAGTTCTTCAGGCGAGAGAGATTCCTCATCCTCAACAATCTCGAAGCAATCTCCCACGTCGAGGTCGAAGGCCGCCGAGAAGCGCTGCTCATCCAGCAAGTCTTCGAGGCTGAGCTTGTTGCCTGGAACGCCAGCTGCAGGCTGCGATTGACCGTATGGGAGCTGATTGTGCAACTGACGCACCAGGCCGCTGTGCTCTGCCTCCGCGGCTTCCAAATCCGCCCCGAGCTGAAGCACGTGGGACTTCTGTGCTGCCAGCTGCTGTTCCAGCTGCTCGAAACGGTCCATGGCGCTGTTGAGTTTCTTCTCCACTGCACGAGCCTGCTGGCGGGCACGGTTGAGCTTCGTCTGCAGGGGGGCCTGGTGCTGCTCTGGCGCCTGAAGCGCCTGAGCCGATGTCCTGTAGCCTCGAGCACCGTGGAGGTCGCCAGCCTTCTCGCACAAAGCGGCCATCTGCAGATATTCCTCCACAGAGAGGTTTGAAGACGGAGCAGGCGCCGTAGCGTTCGAGCCTCCGTCCCTAGCCGAGCTCTTGCCGACGGCGCCTTTGCCTCCACCGGCCTGAGTGCCCTTGAAGAGCTCGAGGGGCGACTTCCCCGAAGCCCATGCGCCGCTGAGGTAGGTGGGCTCCGACTTGAGGCCACCGCGGTGTTCGCAGTAGTAGAAGCGGTGCTCGTTGCGGCGACATCCACACAGCATGCGCCCCCAACGGGCAGAGGCAGCATGAGGGGCATCGCCTCCACCATCGCCACCATGGTCTTGAAGGCCGGGGACGAGCGGAGGCCAGACCTTGGGGTCGCGGCGCCTCGGCGGGCGGGCGGCGCCTTTGCCCGCCCCTCCTCCGTCGGGCGGAGGGGGCTGCGACCAACTGCGGCGCCGCGGCGCCCATGGGACCAGTCCTTTGCCGCCTCCGCCCTTCCTCGCCATGGCCTGGCCGAAGAGTTAATCGTGAAAGCGCGCGGGTTGAGATCCCGCGAACTGAAAGAAGCCGCGCGAGCCAATCTGGCTCGCAGCAGCTATGCGCCGCTGCGAAAAGAAGCTGCTGCAAGCGCAGGCACAACGCCTGAGCCACAACGGCTGAGGAGGAGGAGGAGGAAGAGGAGGAGGAGGACGAGGAGGTGGAGGAGGAGGAGGAAGAGGAGGAGGAAAAGGAGGGGGAGGAGGAAGAGGAGGAGGAGGAGGAGGGAGGAGGAGGAAGAGGAGGAGGAGGGGGGGGGAGGAGGAGGAGGAGGAAGAGGAGGGGGAAGACGGGGAAGAGGAGGAGGGGGAATAGGGGAAGAAGAAGAAGCATGGGAAGAGCGGCCTCGATGGGGTGAGTCAGCATCCCACTATATCTCTGAGCAGCCGCCGCCGCCCGCTCTCGGCGGGCGCCTTCTCTCAGCTCGCGGCAGCGCGCGTGCCGAACTTGAAACCGACCGTGGCGCAGATGGATCGGCGTCCATATCTGAGTTCACAATCCTGCAAGCCAGGCGGCCAGTCCATCCTCAATGATTCCGGCCGACGCCTTGCCCTCCGTTACCGCGGCGCCAACTTGAAGAAGGGCTCTGTGGATGGTGCCCTTGAACTGATGCGTGCTTTTTCTGCTCGCCCGTCGGGCCCCCCTCGTTCGCTGCGGCCGTCCAGGCGCCTTGCTCGATGAAGAGAGTGAGCTTCGCCTGGTTGGAGTCGCGGCATTTGCTGATTCGGGTGCGCTTGACTTTGCGTAGTTCCGTCGCTGCGTTGATCCTGTCCAGGAACTGCACATGCTCCGTGAGAACTGCTCGAGTCTTCCGCCCGCGTTCCCTGTGCAGACCGTCGGAATGGGCGTCGTGTAGGTGGCCCCCCGGTCTCCCTGAAGCGCGTCCTCTCCCCGCCCCCATGCCCATGTCCGCGCGGGTATTCCTGCAGGCCTTGAGCACTTCCATCGGGGAGCTCTGCGAGGTCTCGACGATGTCGTCCACGCATAGGTAGATTGAGAGGTCGATCGTGTTTTGAACGATAGGGGGAAACAGCTGCGAACGGATCTGAGTCCTGCGTCGCATGGTCCAGCCACTGGCCCACTGGCTGCTCGTTTGCAAGATTGAAAGAAGTGCGCCCTGTGCTGCATCAAGACACAACTCCAGATTCCATTATGGAATCTCAAGGCTTGTCGAAACCGTCGACCTTGACAGCGGCGCACTTGCATGTTTGAGAGAAAAGTTTCTGTTCGTGCCTGCCAAGCATGTGAATATTACTTGCGCAGCATTGTCGATCATAGGCATGTGGAACGCGTCGGTGGCGCCCTTGCTGAATGCGATTAGGTCGAGATTCGCTCGCTGGAGACTGGGCGCGACGACGCGCGATGCAGCCATGGGAACTTCCCCCCTAAGACGTGGCCCGCAGCCGCGACGCGAGCATGCGGTGGTGGAGACCATGGCAGCGACTGGCATTGTAGTTGACGGTGCACGCATCGCCAAAACGAGCGCATCATGTGCAATATACGTAGTCCTGGAAATGAGGGTTTGGCGTTCATCTTGTCGGGCGTGAAGCTCTGGCTGCGATGGGCACCCAGTAGAGCAAAGCGGACCCTGTCGGTGTGTTCTAGAATATAGTCAAAGCGTTCGTCTGTCCATTTCGCCTCGATCAACTCCTCGTTGCACCAGGGGTCCAGCGTCTGCGGTTTCCTCTTTGCGATGACCGTCGGCTGCGGGATGATATGGAATATCTCATCTGGGGGCGACCATTCAAAAACCAATGCCCTCTTCTTGAAATACCTTAGGCGCTTCTTGCCCGCGTAAAACAGCTTGACTACGTTGCCCTTCGCGTAGTTATAAAATGCCTGGGGTTGCGGCTTGAGCTCGCCGTCGAAGTCGCCAGTGCTTTCTTGGAGTCGGCGTTTCTCTTCGTCGAGGTCGACGGGTAGGGCTCGAAATTCCTCCTTGAGCGCCAGCCTGTGGCACATGTTGTGCCCAGTCTGCGAGACTGTAGTTGCGCTTCATCTTGCCATGATTGGTGCCTGCCAAGCACCTGCTGAGCCGATGTGCTTCTGAATGCTGCCTTGTTTTGCCATGCTGCGAATGCCAATGCCTCGAGATCTGTTCTTTTCCGCGTCATGGAGTTGCTTCTGCTTCTTGATCGCCCGAGTGAGGATGTCCAGCCTTTCTTCTATGGCCACGCCGAGGTGTGTGCCGATGTACTGCTTGCACGATGCAGTAGTATTGCCAGCTGTTCGGCCATGAGCTGGTTGCTGGCGCCTTGCTTCTTTTTCTCGCGCTCGAGAAAGGGCTTGGCAATGGACTTGAGGGTCTCTATCAAGTAGGTCCTGTGCGCGTCAGTCGTGTTCATAACCTTGAGCTCGCGTGCGGTATCGACGTTATTCTCCAATGCGTCATCTAGCGCTGCGGTGCGCACCTGTCTGCAAATATTCAGCAATTTTGCCATAACCTTGGAAGAGAGGGGGGTAGCTTCGGAACCCCTCCACACCCCCTTTGCAAAGGAGGGCGGAAGGGAATAGCTTGAAGCCGCCCCCCCCCGATGTCCAGACCAAAAAAGGAAGGACGGGGGGGGGGCTTCGAAGCCCCCCCCCACCGTAGCCAGGGCCTCCCGAACTCAGAAACCCTTACAGAAAGGAAGGGAGAGGGGGGGTAGCTTCGGAAGCTCCCCCCCTCCCCCCGTTGGAAGGGAGAGGGGGGGGGGGTAGCTTGAACCTGGAGCCCTTCTTTCCTTATTCCCGGCGCTGCGGGCGCGCTCTTTCCTACGTTTCCCGCCTGACTGATGGAATACAAATCGGTGCCCCGCGTCGTGCCGCGTGTCGGGCCGCCGCCTCTCTCCAGAGCAAACCAACGCCGAACCAAGGGCCCCATGCACCCCTCATCGTCCTTCCCTCCCTCCATCTCAGGCGGCCGACTCTCGCCACCCCTGTGGACGTCGGAACTGCCCAGGCTCCTTCGCCTCCATCACCTCGCAGGGATCGGTGCGTGGGGGGAAGGGGGGGGGGAGGGGGCAGAAATAGAGGGCAGAAACACCACCGTCACAATAATTCGCCGGCCCAACGGGCCAGAGGCGTGCTAAGATCTCCGGTGACTGCTTTACAATCTTTCTACTTCGCGCGCGCGGGGCGGCCCCTGGGGGCCCCCGGGCGGAAAGTACCCCGGCAAGGTCCCGAGAGAGTCCCGGGAGGAGTCACCAGGGCGCTCCAGCAGCGCACCAACGCGGCTCCGAGACGTCCCCGAGAGCCCCAAGAAGGGCCAAGAGGCTTCCAAGAGGCCCCCAAGATGCTACATGAGGGGTCCGAGATGCCACAAGATCGCTCCAAGACGCCCACGATGGCCCCCAGACGCCCCAAGAGGCCTCCAAGAGCACTCCCGAGAGGGCCCCAAGAGGCACAATTCACTGCTTTTCCTTAAGTTTTGGAGAGATTTTGGCGTTTCCACCTTTTCGGCTTCACGACAACCCAAGACGGCCCAAGAGGCCCCCAAAACCGCCCCAAGAGGGCCCAAGAGGCCCCCAAGAGGGCCCCAAGACGGCCCAAGAGGGCTCCAAGACGGCCCAAGAGGCCTCCAAGACGGCCCAAGAGGGCCCCAAGAACGCCCCAAGAGGGACCCCAGGGGGGGAACACGAAACAATATTTCGAGCCCTCGGCCCTCAGAAGTCCCCAGGAGGCCCCAAGAGGCCCCTAAGAGGCCCCAAGAGGCCCCCAACAGGCCCTCAGGAGGCCCCCAAGAGGCCCCCAAGCGGCCCCAGGAGGCCACCCAAATGCCCCCCCGAGCACGCAAGCAAGTGCCAGCGACGCTACACTATGGGCCGGCGGAATGAGCGAAGCGATTCAATAATCCCTACGTGCAAAGCCTTTCAGTAAACGCACGCAGGGGAGGAATCGACCAGGGCAGGACTGCTTAGCAAATGCTTAGGCATGTTTAGTAAACACAAGTGATGGGGGGTGGGGGTCGTGGTGTTCTCTCTCCCTCCTTCTCTCTGTCTGTCTCTCTCTCTCTCTCTCTCTCTCTCTTCCCCAAGGGAGAAGCGCACTTCACTGCAAGTTCACGTCACAATTTCCGATGCCACATATCGCTTAATTCTGACCGAGGTCACGCAGCCATTGAGGTCAAACCCTGAAATTCCAGCAGCAGCGTCGCCGCCGCGTCGACACGACACTTGAACCCACCGCAAGTGACCCATGCCACCTATGGACACATGTTTAACATCTTTGGCTATTCGGCACCTTTCCGGCCTCCAGAGGCCTGTGGAGTTCTCCGCAAACCTCTGCGGTGGAGACCTCCCGAAGTCACCCAACTTCGCGCTCCGCGCAGCGCGAAGGGCGGTTCCACAGCTTGGGACGCCTGACGCTGAAACGGAGAAAATGGCTACGATGCCCAACAGCACTGCCGTCCCAAACCGACAGCGGCCGCCGTTGGGCAGGCGACATCCTGTCTCAAATGAACAGCGTCCGCGGCGACGCGGCCACCGAATCCTCTTCACAGTGGTCAGGAACTGCTGTCCCAGAAAAAACAGCGTAAACATAAACTGTCGGAGGTCCGCGCGGATTTCTTGGATCGGCGCTGGGCTGCCCTCCCTGGCTTGCGGAGGGCGCCAGGGGGCTTCAGCGCCGCGGAGCGTCGACATTTTGTGTTTGTATTATTCAACGCCTGTCTTCGTCACCTGTCTTCTTCGACGCCTGTCTTCGTCACCATTCTTCCCCTGCCCATTTCGATCGTGCTGAACTGCGCGCCCTCGCGCCGCTCCCCCCGGAAGAACAACTTCCTGGCCCAGATCTCGAAGCCCGAAGCACGAACTGCACACCCATGAGATGCTCACGCATCTGGATCCTTGCGCGCTCACCTTGCGAAGGCCACGCGCACTGGATGCACCATGCTCTCGCCAGAGTGCCCAGGCCACACCAGGGCCGGGCGCTGGGAAGACGTGCGGGGCACTCGCGTGTCCAGCTTGCGCCCTCGCTGGCCACGTCACGCGTATCCAGCGTCCAACTGATGAGTCAGCAGCGGGTACACAGAATGGTGCTGTGCCCCCGTTCTGTTTTACTCTTCCTCTTCCCGTGGTGCCTGAGCTGTGCACTCGTCCGACTCCTCTTCCTCCGTGGCCACGGCACCGTGAAGCACTGTGAAGTCGCTGAGGCCCACGGCTGGGCCTGCCTTAGGAGGGTGCCAACTGCAGCCAGAATACCGATCCTCGCCAGGCCTGTTCCGGGCCCAGGATCGGTGTGACGGCGTTCTGGCATGGCCAGGCACTATAACCATGGACCCAAGATTGGGCTGGTCAGGATTGGAGTTGGTGTGTAGTTGGCGTCATCACAGAGCCTCGATCCAGCCCTCATCCCCACCGCCGCCGTCCTGCGGCAGCGCGCAAAGGGGGACAGGGCGATGGGGGCGGCCGTTTTAGAAAGCACCCCGCCTCGTGGAGGATCTCCCCGTGCTCTGAACAGCCCCCCTGAGAAAGGGCGGATCCCTTCTGGGAGGCCCCACTGCATTCTTACCCACAGGACACCGCCCCCCACACCCAACCCCACCTCGCAGCAACCCCTCGCACACACCGGCAAGTCCTCCTCGGCGGCCTGCTGGACAGCCTGCTCCGAATCCGCGCCGTGCTTCTCGAGGATCATCTTCCGCGTCTCGCCCTCCGCCGGGTCCGTCCACTCGAACAGGGCTTTGATCTGGCGCGAGCTGAAGTAGGTCTTGCTCTGGTCCGACTCCAGGGCCGACTTGGTGAGGCCCATCTTGAAAACCTGCAGACGGAACATCTTGTCCTCGATCAGCCCGCTCATGATCAGCCTATACACCCGCACCTCGCGGGTCTGGCCGATCCTGAAAGCGCGGTCGACGGCCTGGGCGTCCGTCGCCGGGTTCCAGGACGGGTCCACGAGCACGACGCGGTCGGCGCTCGTAAGGTTCAGGCCGACACCGCCGACGCTCGTGGTCAAGAGCATGCACTGGAACCGGTCGGGCTGCTTGTTGAACTTCTGCACCTTCTCGGCACGGGCAACGGCGTCGGTCTGGCCGTCCATGCGCAGACACCGGAGGCCGTGCGGCTTCAGGCAGCACACCTGAACGACTCAAAGAAACGGGTCTTCCGCGAAATGGAGTGGCGAACTTTCGCCACGGCTTACGCGGGCCGTCAGCGCGGCACGCTACATTGGCAACGAGGGCGCTTGCGCGTGACCTTACGCGGGCAGCTTACGCGCAAATGTCGGTGAAGACGACCCCGTTTTCTTCCGTCGCTCACCTGGAAAATCATGGGCACGATGCCCAGCAACAAATGTTGCCCAAAACCGACAGCGGCCGCTATTGGGCAGGCGGCCTTCTGTCTCGCCCACGGCGGCACCGACAGCGAGTCCTGCTCAAAATTGGCAGGAACTGCTGTCGGTCTTCGTCCCCATTCTTTCCGTACCCATCGTGCCGACACACCCCGACGCATGTGCGCGGCCCAGGGGGTGGGCCAGGAGACATACTGAAAAGAGAAGAAGAGGGCCCGGGGCCATGAGATCTGGGAGGTATCATGGCCCCCGCCATGATATTCACCTCCCCCCTGTTCATCACCCCCTTGGCCGCCCACGAACACCTGGATGAGGTCCAGCATCTTCAGGCTCTGCGAAAAGATCAGCGTGCGGTGTCCCCGGACGGCTAGCGCGGGGAGCAACTCGCTCAGGCAGCGCAGCTTGGCGCTCTGCTGTATCATCGAGAGGGAGTCCCGCGGCAGCCTCTTCAGCATCACCTCTGCATGGAGGAAGAACATCATTTAACCGATCCCTATCCCCACTGGCGTGGCCTGGGCCCCTCTGGCCGATTCACCCACCCCCGTACATGGGGGTGATAGGCGGCTCCCTTCGGGTTTCGAGGGGACTAACCCCCAACTGGGGTAGTTGGATGGTGGGGCTGGGATACCATGGCCTGGTGCGGATGGAGATAGAGTTGGCAAGACTGGTTCAGTGGGACGTGGTTTAGTGATGTGTACCTGGGCGCGCCCCATCCCACTAACCAGAACTGCCAGCCGTCACCCGAAGAAACACCAGCTACGGCAGACCTGGTTTAGTGGTTATGGTTGATTTTTGGGCTTCAGGCCCAATCACTAACCGGCTCCCCTTACACGGGGTCTTGGCTATGTCCTGAGGGAAACGGTCCTGGACCCAGGCGCCTTCCCTCTGGACCATCTTTCCACCCTGAGCTGTTCTCATGGACCGCCCCCTGACCTAGGAAGGGCCCAGGGAAGCCTACAAAGCAGCGAAAAACCTCACGTCTGCTTCATGGGTCGCCTGATTTTTGGGGGTCACAACTTGGGTCTCCGACGGCCGTTCGGGATGACATCTGGGCCTCAACAGAAATCCATCGACGAGCGCGCAGCTGCAGGAACGCATCGCGAGGTTGACAAACCGCCAGGAACCGACGAACACAGCCGAAAACATCGAACTTCGAACGTCAGGACCCCTTCTCTGAAGGAGGAATGGTAGGGGGGACCAGCTCAGGGGGGAAACATCGAGCTGGAATCCTCTATACATCGCCGATAGATCGCGGCGGCAAGGCCCCCGATAGCGCATCCGCGCGCTCTCTGGCAAGGTGGGCTATATCGGACCCCCTATCGCGTCGACGCATCCCGCTCTGGGCTTATTTCCCCCCCAAACGTTGCCCTTTGGCTTTCGAAGCATAACTCGGCTCTCCGGCGGCCGTTCGGGACGATCCGCGCACCCCCAGAACGCTCTCAGCGCGGCGTAGCGGCAGGAGAGCATCCCGAGGCTAGAAAACCGCAGAAAACCCATGATAATTCCCGAAAGCCTGGACCTGCTGACGCCCTTCCGCCACCTTCTGCCTACATAGGAAGCGATGACGCTTTCTCCACGTCTCGAACAGACAATGCGCGCTCCACTACTCGCAGAGTAGTAACGCGCAAACGACCTGGATCCGCCGCGGGGGATCCAGGATGCGCTGCATCGGGCAATCGTGTGCTTTCCTTACTTGAGCAAGCCGAGAGATGTTCCTCTTGAGGCCCACATGACATATGCGATGTGTCGTTGACTTCAGCGGATGCGGACGCAGCGATCATATCGCGCTCACCGCGGTCGTTTTCCCTCCTGCTCCCTCCTTCCTCATCCGCCTCTTCCGTCCTCCCTCCTCGGTACGGAAGCCCCTCCCCCGTAGAATCATAGTTTGGGCTGCAGGTCCAAGGCTCCGTGGATCCATTTCCCCTTGGGTCCCTTGCATGAATTATTATTGCAACTTTGCTCCAGGTAAAGAATTGGATCCACGAAGCTTCCACGCCAAAACATTGAATCCAGAAAGCACGGAAATTGGATCCACGTGACTCTCGCACACACGTAATTGAATCCAAATGGATCCATGCGTTCCCATGCAAGAGAACAGCTTTCGATCTGGGGATATATGTTTGCGAGTAGGCACTTTGCGAGCAATGGAACGCGCTCGGTGATCGAAGGCGAGAGAACATTTCTGGAATGCCTCCCCAGGCGGCCACCTCTGTCGCCTGGCCCGCCCGCGCGTCGTCGTTCTCCGCGGCGGCCCCAGAGACGCCGGGCGCTGCCAGGCTCTCGGCCTCGCCGGCGCAGGGCGTGAGGTCGAGGCCCTCGGTCTCCGGCCCCTCTGGCTTCTGCACCTGCTGCGGCTCCTCGGGAGCAAAGATCTGGTGGCAACTCATGGGGGCCTCCCCTGGCGGTGCGCGCAAGGGGGTGGAGGGAGGGTGGAAGGCTTCTCAGAAAGAAGCTGCTTCTTAAAGGCGCTGGCCTCATCGCCTTCTTCTAAGAAGCCTTTCCCCCCTCCCCCATACACTCCTCTGCGTGTGGCTGACTGCCCTAATTACCATCTTGTTGGCTCTTGCGAAAGACGCTAGTCGACGCTGATCGACGCTGAGTCGACACTCATCGACGCTGAGTCGGCGCAGGGTCGGCGCGCTTTCTCGTCGATTTCCAGAGGCTGGCGCGCGCTGGTGCAGTCCAAAACGGAAATGCGAGGGGATACAAGGCTCCAATGCTCTGCTTCCAATCAATAGAGCCACGAGATCACCGACGGTTTGCTTTTCTTCGATCCTGGAGTTCTCCAATGACCTCGGCTTCTCGGGCTGGTGGTCGGGCCCCAGGGCCATCAAAAACGGACCCGTGGCGAACATCCGACTCTGGGGAAGGGGTCGGTAGCTCTGGAACTGCGGATTGGACAAATCGCATCGGAGGATGTCTGGGTGTACATGGATTCTTGATCGTTTCCAGAACATGCGTTGCGCAAGCTTTCGTGACACGAGGCTGGGCTCGCGGACTGGGGGCCCGCATTCATGTACGTGGATGGCTAGGCGCATGTTTTTTTGTTGTGGGGTCCCCACGGTCAGGACCTTCTGCTCAGCGTGTCGCGGCGGCGGCCCCGGCGACACGCCATGCCCTGAAAGCGGATGGCGTATCGCTCCGCCCCGCGGGGCGGGAGACGGGGGAAGGCTCGGAACGTGGACGCCTGGGAATGGGGAAGTGGTCAGCGTGTCGCGCCGAAGCGCGGTGGGCCAGAACCTGCGGAGTGACACGCTATCGAACAATTCTTGACCGTAGCTCCTGCGACGCGATCGCGTCGGACAGGATGGCCGCCCAGGCTCCCGGCTTCGGGGTCGGCACCAGGGTCATTGGGTGGTTGCAGAGCCGCTTGAGGAGGCCGATCGCGCGGAACACCTCGATTCCAAGCTTCTGCTTGGAGCAGGCCTCCCGGATCACGTCGCTCTTCTCCAGGATCTTCTTGTACGCCTGGACCTGCTCCCCGCTGGGTGCCAGCCAGATAACTGTCTCCTTCTTGGGGATCAACTTCTTCACGTCCTCCCCCCCCTCGGCGTCGTCCACACCAGACTCGGCGCCGCAATCGGGCGCGCCAGCATCGTCGCCCTCTCCCACGAGGCCGGTGCCGAGCTTAGTCCGCCGCAGTAGGTGAGGGCTGATCATGTTTCTCAGCTGCTCGCTCAGGTGCTTCTTGAGCTGCACCGCGAACGGGTTGGCCCCGCGCACGCTGCCCCGATCGATCGGCTCGCTGAATGTCTTCACGAACGTTGCGTGGTTACCCAGGAGGCCTGGCTGGGCGAAGTCCATGAGAGACCACAAATCCTGGAGCGCGTTCTGCACCGGGGTGCCAGTGAGCAGGATCCGACAGGAGGACTCCAGCTGGCGGAGACTCTTGCCCAAAAGGGTCGAGATGTTCTTCATCCTGTGCGCCTCGTCGCAGATGACGATGTCCCAGGGCCGCACAGATCCGCTCCTGTTGGGCGCTGCTCACTGGCGGGCAACACAAGCGGGGGCTGGGGACAAGTCACCTTTCGTGCACCTTCGAGGCCCTTGGAGGGGCCCTTTTCACCCTTTTTCCTGCAACCCTCGAACCCCCCCTCATCTCACCAGTTCCGGAAACCCTGAATCCCCCAAAAATGTTGCCATCCCTCGGGGGCGCATCTTTTATTTCCGCCGCCTTCCGCCGAGCTTCCGACAGCTTCCGCCGGCGGAGGCAGCCTCGTTTTACGTCCGCCGCCTTCCGCCGGCCTCCAGCCGAGGAAAAGATGTCAGCTCCTTCGATCCTCGAAGGCGAGGCCCTTTCTGGAACGCCCCATGTATCGCCAACCCTCTGCGGAAGGCCCGATCCTGGGGAGCTCGCCGCCGTCCGGGAGCTCGGGCTCGCGGGGCTCCTCCTCGCCGCTCGCGTCCTCCAGCCCCTCGTCGTCGTCCATCTTCCGCCGCTTGCTGGGCCTCGGCCCGCCCCTGCCGTGGCCCCTGCCGCCTCTCCTCTGGACGGGCGACGGCGCCTCGTCCACGATAACCCTGGCCGGGCGCGCCGAAGAGGAGGGGGGGGGCACGTCGGTGCGCGAACGAGGGAGCTCGGGTGGCGCGTTGCAGTGATCCGCCAGCCCCCGCTGCGCGGTGAAAAGGCGTGTGAGCTGTTTGGCTGTTACGACTCCTCCTCTCTCCACCCCCCCGGTTCCAAAATCCCTGTAGAAGCGGGGGGGGGGAGTTCGAGCTCCACATCGCACCTTCGGGGCCCTCGGAGCCTCAAAATCAACCCTCTGTGGCCGCTAGGGGTCTAAGATTCTGTGAGAGGAGGCGGGAGGCGGGGGGGTCAAGCTCCCCAACGCTCATCTGGGGCCTTAGGAGCCTGAAAATCAACCCTCTGTGGCCGCCAAGATGCCCAAGATGCAGTCTGAGATGGCCCCAGACGGACTGCAACATGCTGGAGAGGCCTAAAATGCTCAAGATAGCCTGGCCCAAGACACCGAAAAAGGACCCAAAAGGGCCCCAATAGGCAATAATCATGGATATTGCAGAACATGGTTCAATGAGTTCCGCGTTCTCGCCTTGGCAGGCGTCTGTAAGCTCACAGCGCGAGTTCCCCCCCCCCCAACTGGCCTAAGAATGCCCAAGAGGCCCCCAAGAAGGTTCCAAGAGTGGCCCAAGAGAGGCCCTATTAGGGGATCCGCAGGGACCCAGAGAGTCTCCCGCCCCCCCCCCTCCCCGCCCACAAGATGACCCCCAAGATCCCCAACAAGAGGCCCCCAAGAAGCCCACAGAGGGCCCCCAAGAAGCCCCCAGGAGCCTTCTGAAAGCTCGAAGAGGCCGCCTCTGCCTCCAAAAAGCCCCGCCACGCACGCTGATGAACAGGAGGACGAATCACTAATCAGCAAGCACTACACGCAGGCAGCACGACAGAAAGTGTCAACAAACACACAATACAATGGCAGTCCCACGTATCATATTCGGAGGATCTGCGAAATTGCATAAGCCTCTGCAAAAAAAAACATAATAATAATCAACTGGTACGAATAATTGCTTATGCTTCTAAAAAGTGTATGATGATTGATAGCATAGTAAAAAAGGGCGCCAATATACCTGGGAGACGTCACAGCCCCAGCAACGATATCCACATACTCTCGCACTCCTCTGGCCCCTTAAGACATTTTTAGACGACGCCAGGACAAGGCCAAAGGATCTCTGAGACCCAGCCGTTGTGGAAGATGAGCCCTGCGCCTCGGCCTTCTCAGAGCGTCCCAGAACGCTCTGAGACGCTCTGGAACGATTTATCCCTGTCCTGGCCCCGCCCGACCCTCAGACCCCTCTTGGACGCCCCCGACCGGAAGAGGTCGTCTACGTTCCCGATCAGCGCGTACGAGGTCAGGAGCAGGCCGCCCTGCGGCTTGCTCACGCGCCGCAGCGCCTGCGCCCGCTGCGCGGCCGACCCGTAGTAGGTGTACACAGGCCAGCCAGGGCACCACACCCGCGCCTCCTATCAGAAGTCGAACATCAGCACAGGTCAGTTGATGGACAAAATCCTGCACCTTTCGTACTGATTTTTGTGAACACCCCCCGCGCCACCAATGCCGGTGGGCTGCGCCGCGAGATGACGATGTGTCGACTGGTCGTAATCCTGCCTGCGCCCCGCTGGCGAGCCAACCAACATTGAATCGGAGCAGGGGGGCGCGTTGAAGTTTGCGCCAGCACCCTGGTCGCGTGGGCGGTGCAGGATTCTGTCCAGCAATCGGTCCACCACCGTCCTACCTCCGCCCCCATCCTGCTCTTCTGATTGTTTCCCTTCCCTCCTGGAAGGGGAAACATATCTCCGTCAGAATGTATAGTCCGCCACCCAGCGTTGGTCTGTACAGTCTGTGCACTGTGCAACGGCGCGCTTTCCTGTTGCTATGATTCAGCATTTGCCGTGGCCTTCGTTTCAAAGGGTATCTTGCCGATGCTCCGTCGAAGCGCGGCTTCCTTGCCGATACTCCGTCTAAGCCTGGCTTCCTCCGTTTTCTCCTCATTCAGATAGTTGGTTGGTATTCCCGGTGTCCACCACGTTGCGGCCCGTGCCGCCTCGTGGGCGCCTGGTGGGCGCCCCGCGCTTGGGGGCTATGCTGAGGTTGCGCCACGTTGCCGCCCGTGCCGCCTCGTGGCCGCCCCATGCTCCGAACTTGCACGACACAGCTTTCGCCAATAGCTCACACCGCATATATGACACAACATCGCTTACATCGCTGATGTAGCACAGCTTACACCCCATAGCTTACACCGCATAGTTCCCACCTCCTCCGCTCACGACACATAGCTTGCAAGACATAGCTGTCACCACTTAGCTTACACTGCATAGTTTCCGCTTCCACAGTGCAGTATCGCACAGGTTGGGGCCCACGCTGGTCAATCAAATGTTGGAGAATCGAGGGGAAGGAGAAGGAGGCGAGCGAGAGTATCCTCAGGAAGCGGGTGACAGACCACGAAGAAGACAGACCAAGCAGACGACTTGGCACTGCGCGCCTGCTCCTTGCTTCCCGAGCCGCTCACAAAAGGCCTTCCTGCAACATGCAGAATCAGTGTTGCACCCTGGGCTTCCGCGGGGCAGTCCTGGACGAGCGAGGAGACCGGAGAATGGCGAGATGAGACAACGGCCCGGCCCTGCCCAAATCCGCTCAAACTCAATCCCCAGACACCGCCCTGGACCCATCCTGAGCCGTTTCTGAGGCGGATCCAGCCGTGGCGACGAGGAGGCCCAAAAAGGCTTAAAAACGCCAGGGAGGGCCAGCGTTGTATCGACGACCCCCCCTCCGAGGAGGAGGACGGAACGAGGCGGATCTGCTTAGTTGCCCTCCTCCGATCCTTGGCCCACTGGTCCAGCAGCGAGATGGGCAGCAGTAGCAGCGCGTGGGTCGCCCCCGCCCTCCGCGCGCCGTTCAGCATGGAGCACACCTGGACCGTCTTCCCCAGCCCCATCTCGTCCGCCAGGACGCCGCCCTGTGGAGGGGGGGCAAGGGAACTACGACCTGGAATCGGCGATCGAATAACCCCTCGCGTCGTGCGAGCATCGCGGCATGATGCTTGCTCGCCGTGTTCTGCCTACAGGGGCCCTTCCTGGGCTCCGGGGCCGTCGAAAAAACCACTCGGGTTGAAAAACGGGTCCCTGGGGAACGGGTCGAGACCTCTGGGGGCCCACTTTCTGCGACAAGCTCATGACGTCGGGGGTCTGGGATACGTCGCCGATGGATCGGCCCGAGTTCCTGGGCGGGCTGGGGCGCCTGGGCGCTGATTGGCGACAGTTGGGGGCCGATGTTCCCCCTCGTGGGCCAGCTCACACCCCCCCTGTCGTCGTCCCTGACCTTCCGCTCCCTGGCTTTCGGGCCATAACTCGGCCTCCTGTGGCCGTTCGGGGAACGAGGCGCAGCTGATGAGAACCACCCCGGGCCCCGAAAGCTACAAGCCTCGTCAAAAATAAACAGAAACGCAGTTGGAAATCACGACGATCGATCTTCTCGGGCACTTGTTAGAAACTGCGTTCTTCAATGCTGCGGAGGGGTCGTCGGATTTTTGAAGCCCTTGCGTCCACGTCAGATATCTAGCGTCAGCATTGGAGTAGCGCTGACCATACAATCACCGAAAACATAATCCCTCAGTTTATTTTTGACGAGGGTTGTAGTAGAGCAACTTAGAACATGTTTTGACAACTTCTGACCTGTCTCTTCTGCCACAGCCGGGCCATCCACGCCACCCCGGCGCGCTGGTAAGGGTAAAGCCGGTCGAACGTCTGCTGCGGGAGGGTGAAGGGCTCCGCGCCCAGCCCGCTTCCCTCGCAGGGCAGCTCGACGAACTCTGGCCGCGCCTTCGAGGGGCGCCACTGGCCGGCCTCCTCCTCGGCGTCCTCGTCGGGTCGGAACGCAAACACATCGCATCGCGAACAAGAACGCGACGGGAAGATTTTACCCGTTTTCGCCTCCAGGACTCCAGGGGCCCCCGCTGGGTCGTGAGACCGTCAGGAAACGACCCTGGACGAAGAGGCGGTCCTGCAGGAAGGGGTCATCAAATCGAGCATGGCCTCTCCCCCCCCACCCGCCCATCCACACCCATGGAAAACCCCTCCCAACCCTAAAGATCCCCCCCAGGGGGCCGGGGGGGGGGCCTGATTTGGGGTCATGAGAAAGTGCCTGGGCGGACCGTGTAGCCTCGAACTCCACAAAGACCTGACCGTACGGTCCGTCACCGCACGGTTTTGAGACCTTGGAGGCCCCCATCGCCCGAGACACCCTCGGATATCGACCCAACTCCCAAAACCGTGAGGCCACCCCGAATCGCACTGCCTCACCGCACGGTGTTAGGGAGCCCTCAACGGACGTACACGCCCAGCGTACACCGTACATGAATAAGGCCCCCTCGTCCGCGAGACCGGCCCCAGGATACGAACGCTCGCGCCATGCCCACTGTTGAAACCAGCGTGGATCCATGCACGCGTGCGTCCTTCGTTCGCTCCTGAGGTGTGGAGGCCCCCAACGGGTCTCCCGGACTGTCTCTGGAGGACTGGTGGGCGGTGGGACTCCCCCTGGGCGCGCCGTGCTGCCTGTTTTTCCACGGCGCGGGCCCCCGCAGAGCTCTCGACCCCATCCCTTGGGCCGGCTTCTCGTCGCCGGCCGTCCTTTCCGACGCGGCCCCGTGGCCCGAGGAGGGCCTCCAGCGGCCCAAGCCTGGAGAATGCAGCCGCCCGTGACTTGTTCCACGGCGCCAGACACACTCCTCCTCTCGTCGGTAAAGGAAGCACGGCGGGAGGTTTTTGCTCATCCTCCGCCTCCGAGAACCCTCAACGGGCCATGGGGCCGTCAACAAAAAAGGCCCAGGATGAAAAACCCGTCCTGGGAAACGGAGCCAGACCCCTGCGAATCGACGTTGCGACAACATCACGATGCCAGAGTTCTTGGGAGGTCTGGGCGTACCGCGAGGGAACATCCACATCCACAGCTGCTGGAGTCCTGCACTGGATCCCTGGTGGACGGTGGGCATGGATACCCCCCCAAGTTTTGGACGCGGGCAGGTATCTACATCCGCCACTCCTCGAGAAGCCCTCGATGTCAGGGTGGATGTGCAGGCGTGATTCAAATTCGGCACTATTTTGTCATTGCGGTGTTTGAATTCGATACAATGAAATGCCGAAGGGTACAAACGAACACGCGACCTGTGTGAACGCCACGTCGTGGCCTCAACGGGCGCACCAACAGTCATCATCTATATGGGTGCCTAACAGTCTTGAAAGGATGCATTGGGTGACTCGCTTGCGTAGACCATGCTTTGAGTCACATACTAAGTCATTTGTCCGAGGAGTCTCTGCGCAAACGCAAACATGTTCTGGCTGCTTCGAACCCGACAAACACCAATATTGCACGGGTGTCCCATGCGATTAGCTTCTTTTCTTCGAGCCTGTTTCGAACCACGTTCCAAGACATCTTTTTGGAGATGTCCGCGCGAAGCGCTCACTTCCTCATTGTTCTCAACAGGCCTCGATTGTTTCGAACCTGGTCCGAACCTGTGTTCGGAGAGTTCCACGCGGCCTGCCGTTTTGAGACCGCCATCCCGTTTAGCCGAATAACGAACTAGTTGGAAATACAACTGGACGCCCGAATTATCCGGGATAGCTGTGATCTGGGTGAAACTCTGGCTTGGGCCCCCGACGCGCGAGCCAAAGGATATTTCTGACCACCCCCAACCCTGATGATTCGGGGCGGTTGGGCGCCCGAGTTGCCCGGCATAACTCTAATCCGGGGTATTTCGGGCTTGGTCCAGCGAGGCGCGAGCCAGGAGCTACCCCTGGCAATCCCCAGCCTGGATGCTTCGGGGCTCTGATGCTCGGCGGCGAGCCCGGGGGGGGAGAGTGAGAGAGAGCGGACCTTCTCAGATAGCAGCGGGGCTTCTTGGGAGCCTTCCGGGATTTTGAGAAGGCCCGCCACCTCTGACTCCCCCCAGGGCTCGCCGCCGATGCACGCCCGAGGCTGCCCCCCCCCCCCCCCGCGCTGGAGCCTGAGGGGGGAGGAGGGGGGAGGAGGGGGGAGGAGGAGAGGAGGAGGTTCCTTTCCATTGCAGGAACTGCCTCTTTGGAAGACAACCGCTTGAAGATCCTGAAGCATGCCAAAACATTGGTCTCGGGATTCCAATGCGTGCCAGGACATCATTCCTGGGACTCCAACGCAGCGAATCTACATAACTGATGCACCAGCATAACCTTGAACCCTTGCAGAATTTCAGTTTTGACACGTTGATGTTGGGAATCCGTGAAACTCCTGCGAACTTTTCGAACGAATGCGCGCGGCGCTAATGCGAGAACCACATGTTGAAAAGGAACCGCCCTCAATCCGTGAAGTTCTTGCAAATGTTTAAAGCGAGCGTGCGCGGCGCGAAGGCGAGAACCACATGTTGAAAATGATCCACCCTGAATCCGATAATCTCTTGCACATGTTTAAAACGAATGTGCGCCGAACAAATGCGAGAGCCACATTTTGAAACCACCCACCCTCAATCCGCAAAGCTCTTGCAAATGTTTAAACCGAATGTGCGCCGCGCTAATGCGAGAGCCACGTTTTGAAAACCATCCGCCCTCCATCTGTGAAACGGTTGCCAAGTTGTAGGTCTGAGAATCATAGATGGTGAGGAAGTCTCAAGCGAAACGCCCCGCCCGCCCTAAAATCTGGCCTCGGGTTGCGACAGGGCGGTTCGATCTCATCCGCGGACGCGGCGGGCGCAGGGGCGCCGAGCCACTCCAGCTCTCGAAGTGGTCCAGGGCGACGAAGGCGGAGTCGAAGAGGTCGTCGTAGTAATAATCGTCATCGCCACGGTCGGCGACGCGGCGAGGCTCGATGAAGTCACTGGCGGGGGGGGGCCCTCGAAGACGAGCGGCTCCAGGGGGTGGTCCGCGCCCGTCGGGTAGAAGTCGGGGAAGACAGCGGCAGGCGAGCCGACGTCGCGCCCGTCGCGGTCGCTCGCCTCGACCATGTCCTTCGCGGCGGCGATCTCGCAGAACAGAAGTCCAGGGGCGCCTCGTCGCCAGGATCGCCGGGGCCATCGCCACGGGGAATGCGAGGCGCGTCGGCACTGGCGCCACGGACAAGAGCATCGAGAGCACCTTGGAGAGCAGCTAGTGTAGCCGGTTGAAGGGCACCAGGCGGATGACCCTCGTCAGGCGTTTGTGGCGCATCAGGCGCGGCAGGAGATTGAGCGGGCCAGTCCAGCGCGTCCGCATCGCCACCGGGCGGCGCAGGGTCTGCCGAGCTGCCCGCGGGCCATGGCGACTTAGCAGGGCAAGGAGGTGGGTCGCGTCGCCGACGCCACCCCCTGGGCCTCCCAAGGCGAAGGGGGCCGCGCGCAAGGTCCGAACATATGATCGAGCTCGCGATCCGACATGCGCTCGTCGTCGTGCGGGGGCGCCCGTGACCGCGAGATCGGCATCGGTGGGCGACGGGTTGCCATCATCATATCGCCGACTGCTTTCAGTGGCCGAGTTCTCGTCGGGTTTCGAGGAAGGCGGCATCGAGCGAATGTCGGGCTCGAGCGGGTCCGCGTCCAAGTCTTCCCAGGAGGTGCCGTGAGGTGCATGCTGCGGATTAGGCTCAGGCAAGGCCAGTGGCGACGCTCTCCGCGGCCAGGCGCTTTCTTCAGCCACCCATTGAAGGAATCGAGCACGAATGTCGAAGTCCATGCGAGAGGGGTCGGGACTACATTCCAACGTCTGCATGTGGCGGCGGACAAGATGACGAATCGCACGCATGAAGCTGGGCGGCGGAATGGCAGGAACGCGCTCGAGCAATTCCCGACGCAGGCGCTCGCGAGACATGACGGGACTGCACCGCCCAGCCAGGCGCATCTGCTCAGCTGCCTGCCTCGCGGCGGCAGGAAGGCTGGCCTGCCGATCCACGAGGGCGGGCGCGAATGTCTCGCGGTGAGGGATGCCACGGACGCAGCCCGCATACCAGTCGAGCCAAGAGAAAAAGTTGTCCGCGGGCATGGCGTAGAAGAGGGCGGTCGCCAGCTCGACGCCCAGAGGGGAACGAACTTAACGAGCCTCTGACGACGCCGACTAGCAACCCGTGCAAGGAGCGGAGGGCCAACGCGATGTGGAAGGAAGATGCGAGGCGAGCGCGTGATCAATCTTGTTGCGAAACGCGAAGCGATGGAACCCGAGACAGCACCCGCTTGGACTGGCACGGGGTTCAGCGTTCTAGCAAAACGTATAGCGACGGGACCCGAGACGGCGCCCAAACGGACTAGCTCGGGAGCTAGTGCCCTGACATCGCGAGCCCCCTCCACTGCGCAAAGGACATGGCCATCAACGCCAAACTCGCGACTGGAGATATGGGGGCCAGCGGCGCGTCCATCGGCAGCGCGAGCACGATCGTGGGGGTGCGAGCCCGAAGCTGCGAGGTCCACCCGCGCGCTCTCGCCCCGATCGTCGTCGGCAACTTGAAAGGCGCGCTCCATGAGGCCAGGTGAGGGCCAAGATGGGTGGGGGCCCGTGGGCCGCCCCCTCGCGGAAGAAGAGGAGCTCGCGCACCTCTTGGCTGAAGGCGAAGGGGAGGTCGATGATCTCGCCGAGGATGAGCTTGGGCAGGGCGCAAGTCATGGCCTGGAGGTCCGCGGTCTGAAGCTGAGCAGAAATCGACCAAGGGAGGTCGCGCCAAGAGAGGCCGAGGGAAGGGCCGCCAGCGCGCGTGATCTCGCGCGCGAAGAAGACCATGTGCTGTGAGAGACAGCGTGACCAACAGCGTAAGCGAAATGCATGATCGCGACGACACGGAGCACCTTGTCAAGCTCGACCGCGCTGCTGAGCAATCCAAATCGACCCACGAGGTGTTGATGTGGGCGCATGCCCAACTATGCTCGACGTGCCCCCTGAACATCGGACAACCCAGATAATGTTGCAGCCCATCAGGAACATCAGGACACCCAAACCGGCAGGTCTGCCTCCCCCGATCACCCAAGATGCGCTGAGAGGTCGTCCATGCGTTTGCAGATGTTTTGGCGTATGAGAAAGCCCACGAAGTGGCGCATTCGCGCATGTATTTGCACGTGCCATGCCATCTCGCTTGGTGACGCAGTTCTCGTACAGGTTGGGGCAAGCGGCGATGAGCCGCGACGCGAAACGATTCCAGAGCGGATACGGAGACAGCAATCGCATGACCTTCAGGATATAGCCTACTGCATGCCGCGCCTATCAAGAGGTCCCTCCGACGAAGCTATCGCAACGCCACGGGCACTGGCGCGAAGAGCAGTGGATCGCTAGCCGCGGAGACTTGGCCCTGCACGACTCTGTGGAGGATCTCGACGGTGGCTTCGCTGCGCCAGTGCAGGGTAGGGGCGCGCCGCGGTGACCTGCGCAGATGAGCGCATGTCCCCAACGCGACGATGCTGCCCATGAAGCCAAGCGTGTAGCCGAGCATATCCAGGAAAGATGCGGTGAGCAGTGCGCAGGAGCGCGCCGACGCCCATAACAAGCGAAGGAGAGACCGTGGACTCCCTCCGCCGGCCCCTGCAGTACGAAGCAGAGCCCATGCTGCCATGTTGAACGAGCCGAGCGGGACACGAAACGTGCGGGCAAGCGCGATCAGTTCGCCGCTGATGAGCCACTTGGGAATGAGACGTTACTGCGCCACACAAAATAAAACCGTAATGATGCGGGTTCTGTGGTGAACGGCCAATCGCGAATCAAGAACATTGCTTCGCCCCGCAAGCTCCGATCGAGCCTGCGCCTTGAGAGCAGGGGCTGGCCAGAAGGAGTCCTCGGTGGCGGCGGGACCAATGACCAATCCCAGATACACCGATGAGCTTGGTTCTTCTTCAAAGCGCCCTGGGCCTCTTCATATATTACACTTTGGGCTCGTGGCAAGCTAAAAAGGCTAAAGCAAAACATCGCGACGGCGAGTTTTCCTCGATCAGAGCTTGCCTCTGTAGGGGTCCTAGCGGATTCATATGGTCAGGTGAGGTTTGCCACCGATTTCCGCGGCCCGCCAGGGTGCCCAGGGGCCCTGGTGCCTGGGTACTCGGTTTCCCAGGTGCCAGGGTGCTTTATGGCCCTATAGCCCTATTATAGCCCTATAGCCAAATAGCCCACTAGCCCTGTAGCCCTATCGACCTATCGCCCTAGAGCCCTATAGCTCTGTAGCCCTATAGCCTTATAGCCCCATAGCCCTATAGCCCAATAGCCTATAGCCCCACAGCCCAATAGCCCAATACCTATAAACCCTGTATCCTATATCCCTATAGGCTAATCATAGCCCTATCGCCCTATGGCCCTATAGCCCTATGGCCCCACAGCCCCATAGCCCTATAGCCCAATAGCCCCATAGCCCCATAGCCCTAAAAAACTTTGATTGGGCTTTTCTCCGGCATCATTAGCGTTTTTAGTACATTGTTATTTGTAAACCCGACGCTGTAGATCATTCTTTCTTGGGAATCATTTTGCTTTTTGGCCGAAAGCTGTTCCTTATCTTCCCTGCTGCCTTCACTCTCATGTTTCTTTTCTGCCGCCGTTCTCCCTCACAGAACTAAACAACGCAAAAACAAACTTTAACGCGGCTCTAACTCCGGCCCGAAACAGGCCTGGAGGCCCGATGGCCCCAAGAGGGGCAATCGGTCATCGGGCCCGGAGGCCCGACGCCCCAGCAGGGGCTCCGAGGACGGCCAGCAATCGGACTGAGAGAGCCGGAGGGCTGAGGGCTGAGGACTGCGCGCCAGAAGAAGGAACTGAGGACGTCGTAGATGGCAGTGTTATCAATGTAACCGACTGCTGCGAAAACGCCCCAAAAAGCAACAACAAACACGCAAACAATGAATCGTATTCTTTGCGTTTTTAGCTTTCTTGCTAGAACCTAAAAACGCAAAAATACTGATTTCCAACGCGCCGAATTCAAAGCGGCATAAGAAAACACCCTGAGCAGATCTAAACAAAAACCAAGCCAATGAGCCCACGATCTGAATGTCGGCGAAGAACGGCGCGACGGCGCGAAGGACAGCGCAAAGATCAACGGCAACTTGGTGAGAAAGTTTACGATATAGTGTTGAGTTCGTATTTTGAAAGCAAAAATGGAGATTCCAGAAAACGGCTCAAACTCTGTTTGAACTCTGTTTAAACTCTTTTTAAGCTCTGGTTCAAACTCTGTTTGAACTCTGACTGGTAGCTCTGATGAAAAACTCGTGGAACTCACGGAAACTCCCAGAAAACTCACAAGAAACTCACTGAAAACTCCCAGGAAATTCCGAAACTTTGAAATACTCAAATCAAAAACTCCGATCAAACTCCTGGGAAATCCCGCAACTCCGAAAAACTCCGCTTCAACTCCTGGAACACTCCCTGGGAATCGGGACACTCAGAACTACAAGAAAACTCCCAAGAGACCCAAAAACTACGAAAACTCCCCGGGATCACTTCCAGAAAACTCCCGGGAAATCCCGAAACTCTGAAGGAACTCCGATCAAACTTCCGGAAAACTCCCGGGAAATCCCGAAACTCAGAAAAAACTCGGATCAAACTCCCGGGAAATCCCGAAACTCTGAAAAATTCCGATCAAACTCCTGTGAAATCCCGAATCTCTCAAACAAAAACTCTGATGAAACTTCAGGGGAATACCGAAATTCTGAAAACACCCCCAGGACCCCCCCGAGAAACCCCGAAACTCTGAAAAAAACTCCGATCCCCCCCCAGGACATCCCGAAACTTCAATCAACAACCCGAATCAAACTCCCGGAAAACTCCCGGGAAGTCCCGAAACTCAGAAAAAAACCTCAAACTCCCAAATAATCCCGAACTACAAAAAACTCTGATCAAACTCCAGGGAAACCCTGAAACTGTGAAAAACTCAAATCGAACTCCCAATAAACTCTCGGGAAATCCCGAAATTCCGAAAAATACGGATCAAACTCCTGGGAAATTCCGAAACTTCCAAAACCCCGAATCAAAAACACTAATCAAATTCCCAATAAATCCCGAAACTTTGAAAATCTCCGATCAAACTCCCGGCAAATCTCGAAACTCTGAAAAAACTTCCGGGAAAAACTCCAGGAGACGCGCGGGGGCCACACGCCGCAGAGCAGTGGGAAGCTCTCTGCCAGCTCCCTGCTCTACGTCTCCGATCTCCGGCTCGGGGGAGCATCTTGGACCACCACACTGAGGTGGCTCGTTGGTGATGGTGGTGTCGCTTCTCCTCCCTCGGAATTTAAATCAGGCCTGACTCCTGGGGCTCCTCCTCTCCCTCTCCGGCAGGATCCGCAACGTCTTGCTGCATCTCCTCCAAGGTAGTGCCAATCAAGGGGGGGCGCCATTGGGGGGGTCCACCTCCCCCAGGATCCCTCGCCACCCCTCGAGATCCCTGACGCCGCAAATCGCCCCAAAAACCTCATCGATCCCAGATGCTCTCGAAACTGGATGACCCAGGAGGAGCTGCTCACCACCAGCCATGTGGTGATCCCCCCTAATGGAACCCCGGCCACTCGGGGGTACGCAGCGAACCCAGGCTGGCCGCACATCAGCGCCCGCGGTCAGGAGCTTTTGCTTAGCGTGTCGCCGCGGCGGCCCCAGCGACAGTTTATGCCCTGCGAGCGGATAGCGTGTCGCCCCGCTCCGCGGGGCGGGCGGCTGGGAAAGGCTCAGGATGTGGACTTGGACTTGGACGTGGATAATTACGTGTCGTGCTTGGGGACTTGGACGTGGATAATTAGCGACGATAGGGGGGATAGGCATATGGGGGGATGCATCGACCTCGAATGGCCGATACATGGCCGATGCATCGCCCATGCATTATTGGCGAACCAAGCGTATGCACATGAGTTGGGCAGGGTGCCCTGATATCAACGATGTATCGTCGATGCATGAACGATGCTTCAGCCAACCGAGGTCGATGCACCCCCCGCTATGTATTCCCCCTTATCGCTGCCCCTGAGAAGCGTGGTGGGCCAGAACCGGCGGCGCGATGCGCTAAGCCAGAGCTCCCGACCGAAAGACCAGTTGGGAGCGCCTGGGCCGGAGGGGACTGGCCGACTCCCATCATCGCTGGCACCCGTTGCGTGCCCCTGGGTGAGCCTTGGTGGGAGCCTCTGTGGACATCCGTGCCCCCATCATACACGTGATCCTTCATCCTTTCGTCCAAATTTCGTCCAGAGGTCGTCCAAATGTCGGCTACATGCGACGAGATCCGGACGACCTTACCCAAACCGCAAGGAATTCTGGGACCCTGTGAAGCTCCCATGACGGACCACACGAGTGCCCCGCGAATCATGGGCATCCTCCCCATGCATCGTCAGGTTTTGTGCCTTCTTCTGCTGGATGATCCAAGATGCTCTCCTGGATGACCTGGATGGTCCAGACTTTCGGGCGCTGGCCTCGCCCAAGAGAAGGTGCACATGTCCGAGCGATGCAGAGGGGGCGACTGGCCGACCTCAGTCAGCGCTGGCCCCCGCTGCGTGCCCCTCCGGTCCCGGGCCTCCTCCCCCTCGCCCTCTCTGGCAGGGCCCCCGGCGTCCCGCCGCACCTGCTCCGGGCCACACTCTCGGAGGCGGCCGCGGGCAAGCGTGACCCTTGGTGCGCGGCTCTCGGGGGGCTCCGACACCCAGGCGCGTAGGCCGCTGCTGCAGTGGGGACGCGCATCAAGAAACCACGTGCTTTTTGTCAGGGTACCCTGGGTTTCTCCGCCCCGCCGGGCGCTGTGCGGTGACTTCCCACGGCCGTTGAAGAGGCTGCTGCGTTCAGGGTGCTCTGGGTTCCCCCCCGTGAACATCTCGCGCGCGGCTTTTCGGGACTGGGGGGTTTCTTGCGAGGGGTTCTTGCGGCCGCGTCCGGATTGTATCGCATCGCACTGAGTCACAACGTTGTTCCCCGCAGAGTTCTGGACTCCTTCTCCGGGACCGGTTTTTCGTCCCAGGTAGTTTTTGACGGCCCCGAGGCCCTGTGAGGGCCCCTGGAGGCCGAAAACGAGTGAGAATCCCCCCGCTGTGACTTTTCTTGTTTTGTGTTCCACGGCGTGAGAGTGTGGGGGCCCAATGATCTGGACACCCAATTGCGCCCGCGCCAAGACCTGCCACCCTCCGATGTTTTTTCAATCCGCGGCCCCAGAAGTCCCGACCTTTTCCCTCGGGGTCGTTTTTTTGCCCTGTATTCGTTTTTGACTGTCTCAGGGCCCAATCATGGCCCCCGAAGGCCGACATCGAGGAAAAAGCCGCAGGTAGAAAAACAAGTCGCCGGAGATTTTGAAACCCAGAGATTTGATGTCCTGATTGTTTCAAGACGGGGCCCCCTGAAGTCTCAACCCCTTCCCCAGGGCTGGCTTTTCGTCCTGAGCTTTCTCTTGACTGTCCCTGGGCCTGGCGAGGGACCCCAAAGGCTTTTTTTTCTCAATACTTGGAGGTCTGGGATGGTCAATCTGTGGCGAGGAGGGGCACGGCTGGTGGACAAAAACCTGCACCTTTTATGTTGATTCTTGTGAGCACCCCCCGCGCCCCCAATTGAATACTGGCGGTCTGCGACGCGATGCGTGGATCAGTCAACTGGCCGAAATCCTGCACCCCGCTGGCGATAGCAACCAGAAGAGGGCGCAGGGGGGGCTGGTTGAAGTTCGCGCCGGCACACTGGTCGCGGGGGTGGTTCAGGATTTTGTCCCAATCGGCGACTCCGAAGGGTGTGGTTTGCAAAGGGTGTGGTTTGCAACCCGCACCATTGGGGGGGCGGACGAGGACCTCGACAGAGTTGTCCGCCGCGCCCCGAGGAGGCCCGACGACAGCAACGTGGTGCCGCCCAAACCCCAACGACGCAGATCGCAAATCACACCCCAGCTTGCAGCCAGCGTGATAAGAGAGGAAGGAGCTCCTTTGGCCACGGCGTACCCTGGCCACGAACAGGTCCCACCACTTAGACGAAGTAACGGCCCGAAGAACTAAAAGCCCCTCCTGAGTCCAAGGTGGTTCTTATTTCACCGTCTTGACTGTAACCACACCCTTAGTGGGCGCCGAATCGATCGCGCTTCTCGTGCGCGTGCCCGCCGCCTCTGCGGCCGCTGGCTTCTCCAGGAGGCACGGCGCGGGCGGCTCCGCCGCTGCGCGCGCCGAGGCGCCCTCCTCCAGGCTTTTGGACTTCCTCCTCCCCCCCCCTTTTCCTCAACTCCCTCCTCCTCCTCCTCCTCCTCCTCTCCTCTTCCCCCTCTCCCTATCCCTCCCCCTCAATTCCTTTCCCTTATGAAAAACTGTTCGCTGTCGCACCCCGAAACCTGTTTTTATGGCGGGCCGGGCGTTTCATATGCGACTTCCTCACCACTTATGACCCTGAAACTTAACAAGTGACAACAACTTCAGGGATTGACGGCGGTTCTTTTCTCAAAATGTGGCTCTCCCCTTAGCGCCTCGCGCATTCCTTCTAAGCATGTGCAGAAGTTTCACGCGTTGAAGGCGGGTGGTTTTCAGCAGATGGCTCTCGCCTGAGCGCGCCGCACATTCCTGTTGAACATTTGAACTAATTTCACAGAATAAGGGTGGTTCCTCTTCAAAACGTGGCTCTCGCCTTAGCGCCGCGCGCACTCCTTTTAAACATTTGAAAGAGCTTCACGGGTTGACGGCGGTTCCTTTTCAACATGTGGCTCTCGCCTAGCGTCGCGCACATTCGCATTACATATTTGCAAAAACTTCACGGATTGAGGGCGGCTCCTTTTCAACATGTGGCTCTCGCGCTAGCGCCGCGCATTTTCGTTTTTAACATTTGAAACAGGTTTCACGGGCCCCATGATCAACGACGGCTGCCCGCGTGGCGTTAGCGGCAGCAACGTCGGGGCCGAGGGGGGGGGCGGTCGAGGGCCACCGAAGAGCGCAAGGCGACCTGGTACAAGAAGTCGGTCAGCACCCTGGAGTGGATGCCAGGCTGCATGACCGCCCCGACGAAAGTGGGCGAGGAGTCGGGGGGGCGAACCAAGTGCCAGGCTAGCGCAGCAGCCGTGCACCAGTTCCAGAGGTGCTCAGCTCTGGCCTCACCAAGGCCGCATAGCGGGCAGAGGCCGCATGGGCTGGGGCAAGGGGAGTGGGCGGGGTGGAAGGAGGTGGCTGTCGATCGGAGGAGGCGCCAGGCGTCCACGAGCCGCTCGGGAACGTGGCGGGCGTCGGGGCCGGCCCACTCGGCGTCGTTGTGCGCCCAAGGGCCGGGGCAATCCGAACACCAGGCCTGGCCTGGCGCGCCCTGGCCTCCTGTGTGCCAAACAGCTTTTGCTGGCGCGTCGCAAGCGCAGCAGCGAGGCCGCGTCCGCTCAGCGGATGACCTGCGCCTTGCGCTTTGCCAGAAGCATGCCGCCTTGGCTTGGGCGGGGAGAGGGCCCCAAACGTCCTGTCGCACGTGCGCCGTGGCTGCGACCGCCCCGGCAAATTCAAGGGGGCGCTAAGGGCACCCTGGCACCTGGAAACAGGGCCCAATTCGTGTGAGGACGTAGGCCGGCATCCATCTCTGCCTGGAGGTGCCGAGGGCCATGCGGCACTGAGCGAGTAAGTCAAACACTGCCGCTGGGTCAGGCAAGGCATAGTGCGCTGGGTAGGGGATGACAGATGCGATGTAGGCATTCCAGGCAGCAGCGCGTATCCCCAGGGACGGGTGTGCCATCTGCAGTACAAGCACCCTGACCCGTATCTTGCTTAGGGCCTTGGCCCGGGCGCCTGTAGTGAGGCCCCGGTAGCAGTCGGAGTCCACCTGTCCGCGGGGGGGGGGAGGTCCCCGTGGAGATGGTGGCACCGAGGCGCAGCCATTGCGCTTTGACGCGGGAGCTCCCAAAGGGGGGTGGCGTCCGTGATGTCCGCCCACCAGGCCGATGCAGCGCCCGGGCCCAGGGCAATTTTGAACGAGCAGGTGCATGGCTGCTGCCAATCTTGTACGTCTTGAATTGCAATCTCCCCGAGGTCCGCCCAAATGAGATTCTTGATCAGGTTGGGGGCCAGACCAGCGGCCGCGGCAAGCACGCCGGGTGCTTGTGGGGCGCAAAGGGGGGTGGGCGCGAGGGCGCAGCGCAGCCCTGGGGAAGGGCGTCAAAAGGCCGCGCCTCTGCAGGTGCGGGAGGCAACCAGCAGCCCAGTGGCCCTGGAGGCCCATGGCAGCATGATGGACGCGCGTATGGTCTGCTCGTTGGAATCGAAGAGAGTGGCCGGGTCGTCCACGTAGGTATGGCAGCGGCCAGCTGCCGCCCCAGGGGTAGCTGCGGTGACGGGGTCGTAGGCCATGCGCCAGAGGAGGGGGGGCGCAGTACCTCCCACCCCTATGGATCTGGCCGGGCTCCTCCGGGCGCCTTTGCACGCCGCCTAGAGGGTCTGGATTTCGCGCCGGACCACAGGGTCGAGGGGGTCCTTTTGCAGCCGGGCGGGAAGCCCCCAGCGGCTGAGCACCGCTGCGAGCCATTGTAGGGAGAGCCTCTCGAATGTCTCGTTTTGGTAAGCAAACAGAATGGCCGTGGCGGGGGAGGCGCCAACGTTGCGGGTGGCCTGCGCTATGCGGGCTTCTACCGCCTCCAGGCGTCTCCCCAGAAGGCGACTCCAAGTCCCGCCAGGGCTTGCAGGCGCAAGAGCAGGGGCGCGCCCGAGGTGGTCCGCGGCCGCGCGGGTGCTGGGCCCGCGCTGCCCGCCCTTCATGGCGGCTTGATCGGGGGAGAGCTGCGGCTCAACGAAGGGCCCGATCTGGTCGGCCAGCGACGCCCCGAACAAGCGGCGCATGGCTTTCGGCGTTGGGGGCCTCCAGGAGCCGCGCGGGCAGGTCGACCGAAGGGCCGGGCACGGAGGCGAGCAGGGCGGGATTTCGGTCAGCGACGCACCATGCGTTCGCAAGGAGGAAGGAGACGAACAA